AAAAAATGAGGATTATTTACGTGCTTCAAGAAAATTCAAAAATCGATTTATTATATTTAACAGAATATGGTAAAAGCAATAAAATGGCAAATTGTTGGTAGGTCAGGGTAATTTATATTGGAGGGGATTATTCTAGAATTTATATCAGCGAGATATTAATAAAGCCAAGAAAAACTTCTAAAACAATTTTGTTTCTATTTTTTACAGTAGCAAATAGTATTAAATCTTTCATACTCAAATTTTTGCAAAAATGTATTGTAGATAATAAAAGCTTCCAAAAAAATAAGAATAGATGATAAAGATAAAAAGGAAATAATTTAAAGATAAGTAAAATGTTTTGATATATAGCCTTTCAGGATAGTAATATTTCATCGCTACACTTGAAATCTGGGAATTTATGTACAGACTGATGTAGCTGTCCAAAACTACCGTTTAAATTTATTATATGCAGTAATATGGCATGTAAATATAATTATTTTATTTTTACCTTGTAGAAAAATGGCTACAAATTAATTATTGTACTAATTTTTAGTATTATTTTGTTTGTAACTGCGGTTATTTTGCGCTCAGGATGATTTTCACCGCCATCTTTATCTTCTGATTTCTGTGATCTCCAGTCCCATTTTCTACAATTGTATTCAGGTATTTTTAATTTTTAATATTATTTTTATTCGAAGATTTATTACCTTAATCTCTGTAATTCTTCTATAAATTACCTCACTAACTTGCTTCATTTTCAGACTATTTTTACACATTTTTCGTGCCATCTTCTTTCAAATGCAGCAGCCGACTTCGGAACCTTCTATCAAAGTTGATTTTAATGAGAACATTCGAACGATGAACTCGTCCAGTGACGATCATAAGCGTACCCTTATTCAGCAGCAATTACTTTTGCTGCTACATGCACATATTTGCAAGCAGCAAGAAAGCCTAGGGATCCAATTAAATTGCAACGTTCGTCATTGCGCAGCTATGCGGACCGTTTTATCCCATATGTCTTCGTGTTCCCAAGGGAAGGACTGTAATTTTTCGCATTGCGCTTCTTCTAAACAGATTATCACTCATTGGAGATCCTGCCTTAGCAGAGAGTGTAAAGTGTGTGAGCCACTACGAAGGTCCTCTCAGCAGCATGCAGTGAAGCAGAATATTATATCGCTTCAGGCAAACAGCTCTGTCCAAACGGCAATCCACCCCTCAAATCTTCCGCACAACGGTGCTATCCCTCCAAACGAAGACAGTCAAATTCTGAACGGCTATAGATCGACGCAGCAATCTTCCTCTTTGGCTTGCTCTTCATCTTCTCTGTCAAAGTCAACCTTATCCGGCCTTGATATTCCCCAATCTCAACGGTCTGCTGTGAGCAGCGAAAACTGGAAATCTACTATAACTAATGAGCAGCGTGAGGCCATGGTCATTAGATTGTAAGCGAATATTATATTGACTCATATTTTTTAGACTGATTTTAAATTTACCCGAAGCTTTTATACTTGCGATACGTTAATATATCCACATTTTTTAGTGTTCAGCAAATATTTCCAGCAGAGGACCCTACTGCCTATAGCGATCCTCGCATGAAGCAGTTTCTAGATTATGTCAAGAAAATAGAAAAAGATGCTTTAATTTCGGCTGATACATGTGATGATTATTGCAAACGACTCTCATCTCGATATTGCACAATTAAACAAGAGTTGAATGAGAAACGTAGACAACGTGAAGGAAAAGCTGCTGCTGTCTCTAGTACAGTTAAAACTAATGGTGAATCATCATCTTCCACTAGCCCATCAAAAAGACCAAAATTGGAAAATAACTGCATTCATTCCAGCTCTGCTATCTCTACACATTCTCCTGCAGCATCTTCCATGGATAAAGGGCATATGTCTCAATATGATTCACCCATCGAGCGGGTATGCAAACGAGAAGAACATTCGGACAAATTAAATAATTCTGCGAACATTGATGCAAGGGTTCCTCTTACAAACGGTGAAGCACCAGGCTTGATAACTTCCACTGGTAGTGACTCGGATGAGAAGCCATTACCTGATACTTTACCTCCCAAAGATGAATCGACTCCAGTCGTGAAAATAGAACCTTCTAGCGAGTAATATTTCATTTCGAAAGACTATAACCATTATATTTTTTGAAAATGCTATGTTACGATATTTTGTTTTGCATTTTTTCTTTTAGGAAGGATCGACCACTCGAAATGTCCGAATCAAAGCCTTATGACAGCATAGAAGATTCGGCACCCGATACGCTAATTACCAAGACTGAATCGCCTGATTCCGCTTCTAAATCCACTCCCTCACGACGCAAGGTTTGGAGATCTGAAGAGTTGCTTCAAATGTTTGCACCTGTTTTGGAAAAGCTCTGTCAGGAGAGAGAATCTGAGCCTTTTCGAATGCCAGTGGATTGGAAAGCCCTTGAGATCTTTGATTACCCTCGAATTGTTACAAACCCCATGGATTTGTCGACTATTTGTCAAAAACTTGAAGAGAAGAAGTACGCTGAACCGTGGGAGGTCATCGACGACTTCTGGTTAATGTTTAACAACGCTTGGTTATATAATAAGAAAACGTCTAAAGTTTATAAAATTTGCACTAGAGTAAGCGTTATATAACTTTTATATTTTGATTTTGATCCTTGTCTTTTGTCTTTCAGTGCTTTATTTTTCGCCACTGTCTAAAATCTACTTGCTTAGCGTCGATTTTGTTGCGATATGAGGTTTTGGGGCACTTGATCTTACGATTTCATTTTTTAGCATTGCTTTCTTATTTTTTTAATCAACAAATATTGATATTTGAACCTAGATCAAGATCATATTTTAATTCCTTGCATGATGTAAACTCATATACTCTCTTGGCTCCACTTGCTCCACCAGCTTTTACTCTAAAACTAACTAGTCTATCTCCTAGCTTAATTAACTTAACTTA